GCGGTAGGGGAAGAGGCGGTAGTAGGGGACCGACTCGTCAAACGTGACGTCCTGGGAGGACAGAACACGGCGAGAGGTGGGGTGGTAGAACTGCCACCCTGGCGCGTCAGGGGGGAAGCCAAGGAAGACGCAAGGAGCAGCACGAGGGGACAGCTTGTCCGCAGACAAGTCGCGGACAAACGCCCGAGATCCCCAGACACGGAACGCAGACGCATCGCCAACCTTCCCCGTCCACAGCAAGGCTGGGGAGGTCTCCGGCATGGAGACCCTGGGGTGAAGGTTGATCTGATGCGCCGCGTACCGAACAGCAAACGGCCACAGAAAATGGGGGGCAGCCGCATGCATCATGGACGTACGGGCGACGTCCATGACCATGCCAATGCGGCGCTCAGCAATCCCATTTTGCTGGAGAGTCCGGAAGCGTGAAGGTCTGGCCAGAGGAGAACTCTCCACCTCTGTCAGAGTGCAGACGCAGAACAGGAAAGTCCGAGCCGAAGCTCTGCCTGAGCTGGAGACGAGCTGCGCGGATCCAGTCGATCAACACCTTAGTGACATCACCCTTGCTGCGCAAGGGGAAGACTGTGGTGTAACGCGAGTAGTCGTCAACCACCAGCAGGAAGTAGCGCTCGTGACCCTGTCCACGAACGCGGGCCGGGCCCCACACGTCCATGTGAAGCGTCTGCAGCGGGGCCTCTGTCGGAGGAAACTGAGAGGAGTGAGGGGCAGCCCGCTGCCGCCCCTCGACACAGGGGACGCAGGTAGGGCCAGGCCCCGGAGGAAGGGGAGGGAGGGACCGGGGAAGACCAGAGACAAGGACACGGGAGGCCATGCCTCGGAGACGAAGCAGAGAGGGGTGACCAAGGCGGTGGTGCCAGAGGAGAGTCTCGTGAGACAGGAGGCAACACGAACAGGGGGCAGACTCAGGACCAGACCTGGACGCTGCAGCAAACACCTGACCTGACGCAGCTACCTGACCAGACGCAGTGACCGGAGGAGACGCAGTGGTCAGTGTGTACAGGCTCGACCCCGGCCGACGTGTAAACGTGGCCAGGTGTCGGCCTGTCCGAGCGTCCGTGCAGTGGGTCACCCGCTGACTCGCAGGAGTGAACTGGTGAACCCCCGCATCCTGTAGGTCAGCACCACTCACCAAGTTCGTAGAGAACGAGGGGAGGTAAAGACCAGACAGGGTGCCAGAGGGGGCCGCCGGACACGGGAGGACAGTGGAGAAGTGAGCAAGGACAGGACTCCCAGAGGGGTCTGCCAGAGAGACTGCAACTGGCCGGCCAAGCGGCGTGAGTGTGGTGCGGTCTCGAAAGAAGGAGCGAGAAGCCCCCGAGTCAAGGGTGAAGGTGTGGGAGGCCGAAGCCGACGCAGAACCTGAGAGAGCAGACTCACCAGCACCTGAGGGAGCAGACGCACCTAGAGCAGCAGCCTCACTAGCACCTAGAGCAGCAGCCTCACCAGTACCTAGAGCAGCAGTCTCAATGCCCGGGTCAGGCGGAAAACACCGGTAACAGTCACCCTCATCACTAATAGTCACAGTATACATGGCAGCAAGAATAGCATCAAAGTCAAGGTCAAAGACAGCTACACCCGCCCTAGACAGCTCACCCCAGCGGGGGATCTCAGTGGCCTCAGGGAACTGGTGACGCCAAGCGTCCGTCAGGCGGCGAAAGCAGCGCTGGGTGGAGTGCGCACCCCCGCACTGGTCACCCGCGCGGTCGCCGGTGCGGAGGACGTAGGTGCACGGACCAGTACCCCCACCCCTCTGGCGTGCAGTGTACCACTCACGGAGCTGCTGAGGGGAGGGGATGTCACGAGTGCGCTGCTGCTGCTGCTGCTGCTGCTGCTGCTGCTGGCGCTGACCACCACCGGAGCCGACCCTCTTCGCAGCGCCACCCCGACCAGCTCCACCTCCTCCGCCGCCTCCTCCTCCACCGCCGCCACCTCCGCTCCCACCGCCACCGCCGCCTCCGCCTCCGCCTCCGCCTCCACTGCCGCCACCGACACCTCCACCCCCGCCACCACCCCCACCTCCACCCCCACCCCCTCCACCGCCTCCACCTCCGCCTCCACCGCCCCCGCTAGCTCCTCCAGTGCCCCTGCCCCCCTTGCCCTTGCCAGGGCGACGTCTCCCGCTAGGGGTAGACGCCGCACCGACCGACTCAAGCCCAACGAGGTCGGCCGCAGCAGCAGAGGCAACAGAGGGCAAAAGGGGGGAGGGGGAACACCCCTCAAAGATGGGGGTGCGAGGGTCACCACGAGAGGCTCCTACAGCGACTATGCTCTTCTCTGCTGCTAGGAGGGACTTCTCGAGGAGGTCAACGGTGAGAGTGGTGGGGCAAACTGAGAGGAAGTGGTCCCTGACTACGCGAAGGGAGTCAGGGAGCCGGGTGACTATGTAGTAGAGGGTGATGTACATGGGGGGGGGGTTCTTGGCGCAGAACTCAGCAGGAAGCGCAGCGCGGTAGCGAGTGTCACTAGTGCGGAGGTGCGTAATGAGGTCAGCGACTGTGGGAAAGGCAGCAAGGTCAGGGAAGAGGTACGGTAGCATGAGGCGGCTCAGTGCAGCAGTGGCAGGGGAGGAGTAGCGCGCAACTACAGCGTCGTACAAGGTCTGAGCACTCTTGTACTGGCTAAAGTGCGCACGCTCAGAGGTAGGCAGGTGGCGACGCACAGCAAGACGTGCAGCAGCATCGCGCGTGGCCCACTGTGAGCGAACAGTGACGTCAGCATCAGCAGCGGGGGCAGGAGAGGCACCAGAAGTGAGGTCAAAGAGGGAGAGGCCGTCTGCCCTGTCGCACTGTAAGAAAAGCTGCAGGTCATCTATCCAGACATCAAAGTCAATGGCCCGACCCTCAGCGTCAAAAGCGAGGACACTAGGGGTAGCCATGACAGTAGTAGACTAGCAGCGCAAACAGTAGGGTGAGGGCAGTGCTGTGAAAGGGGCGCTGCTCTTACCGGACAGGGCGGCTCGGGTGGCTCGGCTGCAGGGCGGCTCGGCGGCTCGGCTGCTGGGCGGCTCGGCGGCTCGGCGGCTCGGTTGCTGGGCGGCTCGGCGGCTCGGCTGCTGGGCGGCTCGGTGGCTCGGCTGCTGGGCGGCTCGGCTGCTGGGCGGTTCGGCGGCTGGGCGGCTCGGCTGCTGGGCGGCTCGGCGGCTCGGCGGCTCGGCCGTTCGGCTGCGACTGCTGCTGCAGAGACGGCGGCGGCTGCTGCCTCAGGGACGGCAGCGGCCGGCCGCTAGGGGCCGCGTCAGGTGCAGGAGAGGGCCGCGTCAGGGGCGGCGTAGGGGCCGCGGCAGGGGCGGCGAAGGGGCCGCGTCAGGGGCCACGTCAGGGGCCGCGGCAGGGGCCGCGGCAGGGGCCGCGTCAGGGGCCGCGTCAGGGGCCGCGGCAGGGGCCGCGGCAGGGGCCGCGTCAGGGGCCGCGTCAGGGGCCGCGTCAGGGGCCGCGTCAGGGGCCGCGTCAGGGGCGGCGTAGGGGCCGCGTCAGGGGCCGCGTCAGGGGCCGCGTAGGGGCCACGTCAGGGGCCGCGTTGGGGCCGCGCCAGAGGCCGCGTAGGGGCCGCGTCAGGGGCGACGTAGGGGCCGGGTAGGGGTCGCGTAGGGGCCGCGTAGGGGCCGCGTAGGGGTCGCGTAGGGGCCGCTAGGGGGGGGCCGCTAAAAAAAAAAAATTTAGGGCAGGGGCGCAATGCGCGTCGGGCAGCTAAAAAAAAATTTCGTTATGGTGGGCCCTTAGGAAGGAACGGTCCCATGTAGGAACCCGCTCTATACCATGTGAATTAAGAAAACAGGAATGAAATGACTAAGTGAAAGTTGGGTACAAAAAGCAAACCCTAGAAAACTGTACCCCATATGTGCTACCCCACTATAGCCTACAGTAGCTATGTCATATAAATCTGACACTTCACCTCGCGCCTGGCGTAGCTCGGCATTTTCTCCACGTAGTGTTGTCACTTCCGCCATTAATGTCTTCATGCCCTCTTGCATTTCTGCCACTTGCGCCATGAGTCTGTTAACCGCTTCTTGATCCATGTGTCGGGTGTTAGAATACTAGCATGACTTAGGAGCCATGGCTAGTGAGTGTCGAGAGAGTTGAGTGTCGAGAGAATTGGAAAGGAGAATGAGGAGGATTCACTGTAGAAAGTTGGGATACAAATAGCAAACCCTAAATTGGGTTGTACTCACTACAGAGTACCCCACTGCAGGCTAAACAGCAGATACATTCTGACACACCCCCATAGTCAAAGTGGGGTATAATCAGCAGAGCAAGCAGTCATAGAGCAGGTTCACAAGTACAAGCAAAGCTAGAGGCATTCACAAAGGGCAAGTGAGGAGGAGGCTGGACTGTAAGAGGAGAGTAGATAGGAGGCGACGGCTGATGCTGCAGACACTCGGGCAACAGGAGCGGCGCGCACTGTGGCTACCAGGGCCGTATCCCCGGACTACAGGAGTAACTGGCTCTGCGGCTAACTCTGAGTGGCAGGAGCAACGGACCCACAGGCGACAGGCGCAGCAGGCTCTCTGAGCTACCAGAAGCAGAGCCCCGGACTACAGGTGCTGCGGACGACAAGACGGCAGCCTCCGCTCAACCTCCCCCAACTGTCCCACCCCCCTTACACACACCCCTTGCTGCACCCCTAGCTCCACTCCCACGTCACCCCCCTAGCACCAATCCCTCGGCTCCCACACACCCACCCCCCTCAGCGGCAGCTGCAGCAGTGGGAGACGACGGTGGAGGAGGAGGAGGGGACGGTTCACACACCCGCCACCCCCATACCCGCCACCCCGCACTTGCACCCACACTCGCCACCCCCATACCCTCCCCCCACTGCTGGACCTGCAGCAGGGGATGGAGGAGAAGGGGGGGGGGGGGGGGGGGCGGGGGGGGGGGCTGGTGCTGTAGATCCCCTCCCCCCCACTGCTGCACCCGCAGCAGGGGGAGGTAGGAGAAGGGAAGGGGGGGGGGGGGGGGGGGCGGGGGGGGGGGGTGGGGTTGTGCATGGCGCGTGCAGAGGGCAGCAGGGCGCGCGAGGCGCACAGGGCTGCAGGGCGCGCGGGGCGCACAGGGCAGCAGGGCAGCAGGGCGCACAGGGCTGCAGGGCAGCAGGGCGCACAGGGCTGCAGGGCAGCAGGGCGCGCGGGGCGCGCAGGGCTGCAGTGCGCGCAGGGCGCGCAGGGCAGCAGGACAGCAGGGCGCGCAGGGCACGCAGGGCTGCAGGGCGCGCGGGGCGCGCAGGGCTGCAGGGCGCGCATGGCGCGCAGGGCAGCAGGACAGCAGGGCGAGAGGGGCAAACAGGGCAGCAGGGCGCACAGGGCTGCAGGGCAGCAGGGCGCACAGGGCTGCAGGGCAGCAGGGCGTGCGGGGCGCGCAGGGCTGCAGTGCGCGCAGGGCAGCAGGACAGCACAGGGCGCGCAGGGCTGCAGATCCCCTCCCCCCCACCGCTGCACCCGCAGCAGGGGGATGGAGGAGAAGTGGGGGGGGGGGGGGGGCTGGTGCTGCAGATCCCCTCCCCCCTTCTGCTGCACCCGCAGCAGGGGGAGGTAGGAGAAGGGTGGGGGGGCCTGGTGCTGCAGATCCCCTCCTGCCTCCCCCTGAACCTCCAAGCTCCCCCCCCTCTCCCAACACAAGGTGCGGCAGGGAGAGAGAGAGGAGGAGGCGTGGCGGCAGCTGCTGCTGCTGAGGCACATCCGCCACCCCCTCACACCCTCTCCCCGCCATCCCCATGGAGGGGGGGGAGGGGGGGGAGGGGGGCGGGGGCGGAGCTGCGCGTGCGACTGTAGGGCACGCGGGCAGGAGGAACCCCCTCTTGCCACCCCCTCACCCACCATGTTGCAACAGGGCACCGGGGCCGCGGTTAGGGGCGGCAGGTCGCGAGGGGCCATGGCTAGGGGCGACGGGGCCATGGCTAGGGACGGGGCCGGGCACTGGGCAGGTACGGGGCCGGGTGCTGGGCTAGGGACGGGGCCGGGTGCTGGGCAGGTACGGGGCCGGGTGCTGGGCAGGTACGGGGCTGGGCGCTGGGCAGGTACGGAGCCGGGCGCTGGGCAGGTACGGGGCCGGGCGCTGGGCAGGGACGGGGCCGGGCGCTGGGCAGGTACGGGGCCGGGCGCTGGGCAGGTACGGGGCTGGGCGCTGGGCAGGTACGGGGCCGGGCGCTGGGCAGGTACGGGGCCGGGCGCTCAGCAGGGACGGGGCCGGGCGCTGGGCAGGTACAGGGCCGGGCGCTGGGCAGGTACGGGTCCGGGCGCTGGGCAGGTACAGGGCCGGGCGCTGGGCAGGTACGGGGCCGGGCGCTGGGCAGGTACGGGGCCGGGCGCTGGGCAGGTACGGGGCCGGGCGCTGGGCAGGTACGGGGCCGGGCTCTGGGCAGGTACGGGGCCGGGCGCTGGGCAGGTACGGGGCCGGGCTCTGGGCAGGTACGGGGCCGGGCGCTGGGCAGGTACGGGGCCGGGCGCTGGGCAGGTACTGGGCCGGGCGCTGGGCAGGTACGGGGCCGGGCGCTGGGCAGGTACGGGGCCGGGCGCTGGGCAGGTACAGGGCTGGGCGCTGGGCAGGTACGGGGCCGGGTGCTGGGCAGGTACGGGACCGCGCGCTGGGCAGGTACGGGGCCGCGCGCTGGGCAGGTACGGGGCCGGGCGCTGGGCGCGGAACGGGGCCGGGCGCGGGCTAGGTACTGGGCTGGGCGCGGGCTAGGTACGGGGCCGAGCGCGGGGCTAGGTACGGGGCCGGGGCGCGGGCTAAGTACGGGGCCAGGCGCTGGCGACAGACGGGGCCGGGCGCGGGCTAGGTACGGGCCGGGCGCTGGCGAGGGACGGGGCCGGGCGCAGGCGTAAGACGTGGCCGGGCGCGGGCTAGGTACGGGCCTGTCGCGGGCTAGGTACGGGCCGGGCGCGGGCGTCGACGGGGCGCGGGCTAGGTACGGGGCCGGGCGCGGGTGTCGACGGGGTGATCGCGGGCTAGGTACGGGCCGGCGCGGGCGTGAGACAGGGCCGAGCGCGGGCTAGGTACGGGCCTATCGCGGGCTAGGTACGGGCCGGGCGCGGGGCTAGGAACGGGGCCGAGCGCAGGCTAGGTACGGGCCGATCGCGGGCTAAGTACGGGCCGGGCGCGGGGCAACGGAGTCGACGGGGCCAGCGGGGCCGAGGGGCGCGGCTAGGGGCGACGGGGCCAACGGGGCCGAGTGGCACAGCTAGGGGCGACGGGGCCAAGGGGCCGAGCCTAGGGGCTAGGGGCTATGCCAAGGGGCGACGGGCCGGGGCCTAGGCTAGCAGGGCATTAGGTGGTGGGCCCATTGATGTTAGGTCCTAGGAACGACCTACTCTGATAGCATGTTAGAATACTAGCGTGACTTAGGAGCCATGGGTAGTGAGTGTCGAGAGAGTTGAGTGTCGAGAGAATTGGAAAGGAGAATGAGGAGGATTCACTATAGAAAGTTGGGATACAAATAGCAAACCCTAAATTGGGTTGTACTCACTACAGAGTACCCCACTGCAGGCTAAACAGCAAATACATTCTGACATCGGGCACTTCGTCGGGTGGACAAGCGGGTCTCCGTGGCCTTCAGGTAAAGTGGAAAATACGAACTAACGGAGTCGGGCAGGTTTGAGTTAACAAACCTTGCGGCCAACCGTCGTGTAGTCAACTTATACCAGCCAACCCGTGCCACCAAACTACCCTCTAAAAAGCGGGGTGAACTAGGAAAGTAGCTCTGATACCAGGTGTTATGAGTTGTAAAAGAGAGTGCGCAGTTTAACGAATAGCGAGAAGTGATTGAACAGACTGATTATAAAATGAAGGTACATGCTTACATAGTGAGTAGGCTAGCTAGGAGGGAACTTCGGGTGAGTGAGGTTGGGTGCAGGTTGGGCGAAGAGAAAAGCCGAAGGCGACGCGAGGAGGCTCGGCATCGTTGATGTCGGCCAAACGTGCAGAGTCTGAAAATCGGGGCTGTACGCGAAGCAGTCAACCCCGATAAGGAATTCGAGAAAATTCCTTACAAACTCAGTCGAAGTGGGTCAAGTTCTAAACTAGCGAAAGCGGAGTGTTTCCGCCGTTGGTTTTCGATCCCCCACCCCCAGCCCTCCATCCGCTTCCATTGTTCGTTTACTCCGCAAAGGGGTACTTGTGGAGGCTGGGTTACCCTGTTTTCAAGTGATAAACCTTTGCCTCCCGCTCGAAGTATGTAGACCGCAGCTTTAATAACCAGTCGGTTATTCCAACACATTGTATTTCGTATTTCATAGCTCATTCTAGTTATGTTACATTCTTCACATGGATATCGCGAAAAATTCCCTTCCCAAGCTTCCGTGTCACTCCTGTCCCTTAGCACGTTCTAGTCCCTGTCTCCTAGCCTAGCACGCCCCGTATGCCTCTCCCGTCGCTCCTTTCAGGCCCTCGCGGGTCCCTTGTCATCGCGCTCAACTAATACCCCTGCAGGTCCTTTTCATCCCGTTTAGGAAAGACCCCCGCTGGTCCCCTTACGTCCCCGCTGGTCACTGGTGGAATATGAGTGCAAAGAAGCACCCATATTGTTATGAATGAACTTGCAGAGTGCGCAGAATAACGAATAGCGAGGATGGTTGAATACAATGAAAGTGACGAGACCTAAATAGGGGAAAATCTAGCTAGGTGGAGAGGTAGGGAATGGATGGCTCGGTGATGTTGCGATTGGGGCGGAGGCCGACTCGGGGGTGGTTCAGTGCAACGAAATAGGCCGAACAGGTTCGTCGCGTGACCCTCGGGATGGCCTCGCTAACGAGTGCCTCAGTAAGGATTTGTAAATCCTTACACTTTCCCACCTTCTAAATAAGGCAGCTCTGTACTGAAATAAGTCCCATGGTAGCAAGGATGCCGTAGATCTCCTCATCAGCTGAATCCGACGGCTGGAAATGTCTTCAACAATTTTGAAGAAAGGTTGGAATGTCGGCCGTTGATGAAGTCAGATGTCGATCTGACGGTCGACAATGAACTGGCCCAAATGAATTGAAATTTTAAATGTGGGCCGTAGATCGAGCAGCTGTAGATCTGACGGTCGAAGACTGGCGCGAAAAGGGAGGGAACCTGCTAACGTGAAATTCAATCGCGATGTAGCAGAAACCGTTGATCTTGTCTGTGTGATCGCGATCGTCTGTCGTGCTGACGCATCCTGACAAAAGTAAAAAAGAAAGCCGAGAAAACTGTGAGAATAAAAAACGAGAATGAATGAACTAGCAAACAGTTGGGTACAAGTATTAACCCTAATTGGGTTGTATCCCTTATGGGCTACCCCACTAAAGCCTACACAAATGTATAAGCTATAATGTTCTGACACACCCCCATAGGCAAAGTAGGGGAGAACAAGTGGCCACAAGACCAGACAAGAAAAGCAAAGCAAGCTCAGGGTGGATCACAAAGTCACCACACAGTCCGAGCACAAGCAAAGGGCCACAATGCCAGTTCACACGTAGAGTTATATAAAGGGAACAAACAATACAGTGATCATACCCTAGCAAGTGCAAGCATGCAGGTATATATAGAGATCACAGTACAGGCAGGGTCAAGCAGTGAGCAAGTGAAGCAAAGTGGGCACAAGGCCTAACACAGTAGCAAAGCGCTGATGATCACTAGGCGGAAGTGCCTTGGTGAAGACATCAGCAGTGTTGGCCCAAGTGGCCACGTACGCAAGACGAAGCTGGCCATGCTGCTGCAACTCTCGAGCAAGGAAGTATCGCAGAGCAATGTGCTTCGTTCTGTGCTCCAGTTTGTGCTCCTGACACAAGGCAATCATGGCCTTGTTGTCTACGTACAGGACTGGAGGCGAACGAGGCTGCTCTCCCAAGTCGGTCAGCAAGTAGGTGAGCCAGCGTAGCTCCTGAGCAGCCATGGCTCCGGCGTAGATCTCAGCCTCACAGCTGGAGCTGAGAACCGAAGACGAGCGGGTAGACCGCCAAGAAACAGAGCCGGACCCAAGGCTGAAGGTGTAACCCTGTGACGACCGCTGCGTAGCTGAGTCGTCAACCCAGGAGGCGTCTGCATGACCAGTGAGGACAACTGGACCGCGTCCTCCAAGCACAAGCCCCATGCCCAACGTATGTCAAACTTATATCTGCTATGGTCTATTTAGGCTGTAGTGGGGTAGCTCTTAGTGGGTACAACACTTATGTGTTTTCCATATGTACCCATCTCATTTCTAGTTCATCCATTCTTTCGTCTATCATTCTCACATGGTATAGAGCTAGTTTCGAGATTTTTTTAAAAGGGCCCACCACTGAAATTTCTCCCCTGCCTACTTGCCGCGCGCTTCGCGCCTTCCCTTCGAGGCCCGTCACGGCCCCTGCGCCCGCCCTTAGAGCCTGCGCCCGCCCTGTAAGGCCCCTTAAGGCCTCGTTAGGCCCCGTAAGGCCCCTTTAGGCCCCGTTTAGGGCGCGGATTAAGGCCCCGTAAGGCCCCGTTATGCCCCGTAAGGCCCCGTAAGGCCCCGTCAGGCCCCGTTCGGCCCCGTTTAAGGCCCCGTTAGGCCCCGACAGGCCCCGTTAGAGGCCCCGTACGGCCCCGTTAGAGGCCCCGTACGGCCCCGTCAGGCCCCATTTGGCCTCGTTTAAGGCCCCGTAAGGCCCGTCAGGCCCCGTTAGAGGCCCCGTAAGGCCCGTCAGGCCCCGTTATAGGCCCCGTCAGGCCCCGTTATAGGCCCCGTTCGGCCCCGTCAATCCCCATTTGGCCCCGTTTCAGGCCCTGTAAGGCCCGTCAAGCCCCGTTATAGGCCCCGTATGGCCCCGTACGGCCCCGTTATAGGCCCCGTCAGGCCCCGTTATAGGCCCCGCACGGCCCCGTTATAGGCCCCGTACGGCCCCGTTATAGGCCCCGTCAGGCCCCGTTATAGGCCCCGTTCGGCCCCGTTATAGGCCTCGTCAGGCCTCGTTATAGGCCCCGTTATAGGCCCAGTCAGGCCCCGTTAGAGGCCCCTTCAGGCCCAGCCGGCCCTGCTGCGGCCCTGTCGCAGCTCTTCCCCGACGCTGCCCCGGCCCTGCTCCTGAACTGCCCCGGCCCTGCTTCTGCACTGCCCCGGCCCTGCTCCTGACCTGCCCCTGAACTGCCCCGGCCCTGGCCCGGCTCTGCCCAGGCCCTGCCCCGGCCCTGCCCCGGCTCTGCCCCGGCCCTGCCCCTGAACTACCCCGACCCTGCTTCTGCACTGCCCCGGCCCTGCTCCTGAACTGCCCCGGCTCTGCCCCGGCCCTGCCCCGGCCCTGCCCCTGAACTGCCCCGGCCCTGGCCCGGCTCTGCCCTGGCCCTGCCCCGGCCCTGCTCCTGAACTGCCCCGGCCCTGCCCCGGCCCTGCTCCTGAACTGCCCCGGCCCTGCCCCGGCCCTGCTCCTGAACTGCCCCGGCCCTGCCCCGGCCCTGCTCCTGGACTGCCCCGGCCCTACCCCGGCCCTGCCCCAGCCTCTCCCCTGGTAAGAGCGCCGCGCTGCCGAGCCACACCGCCCTGCCGAGCTGCGCCGCCCTACCTAGCCTGCTTAGCCGAGTTCCACTGCTGCCACTGCTAGCCTGCTTCTCCTGTCATGGCTAGTCTCAATGTTCTTACCTTTGATGCTGAGGGTCGGGCTGTTGACTTTGAGGTCTGGCTAGATGATCTGCAGCTTTTCCTACAGTGCGTTAGCCAGGATGGTCTCTCACTGTTCGATCTCACTTCTGGCGCCTCTACTGCCCCTACTGCT